ATCCCGCCAGAACCCCCTCCCCTAGCACCAAGGCCCAAACGCACTGCACTGGACACAACAAGCGATCTCAACCCGATCGTCAAGAAGCTTCGAGGATAATTTGCTTGTACCTTTGGCGCGGCATCGTATAAAGGACCGGTGGGACTGATAAGCTGCCTTCGTCACTTTTACCACCACCAATGCCAAAACGAAGAACGCAAGCGGCGGCCGGAGGCTGAAGGGAAGGCAGAGGACCCCCCTTTAACGTAACCAGTCTGGGCTGGAAGTCCTAACTACGCCGGGTCTGCTTCCCCACGTCCGGCCAGACATGGCCCACCACAAGAGCCGCCTCACGCAGCGGCACTGCGACCCACACTGCGTTGTCTAGTATGTTAAAAGGTCATTGGCAACGCTGGAGGACTGGCAATCCACCTGAAATACAAACACCCCAACGGACGGAGCAATGCGATTCAAGAGCTAAAGAAAGAGACAAAAAGACCCCTCAAACGAGAGGGAGTCGAATCCCATGTCTTTTACGGCACAAACATAAAGCAGGAAGAACGTGACGAAGCACTACCGCATCTTCCAAAGTTTACACCTTGGTACTGTGGAAATGCCTCATCGTGGCGTCAAGGTCTATTACTAAGTTCATTACTTGGGAAGCTAAATTTCCACACCTGCAGCATCGAATCCGGCTTAGTTCGGGCTGCACCGTGATACAGTCGTTACTTATTCGGATAGCGGAGTTAAGTACCTTACAAATAAGGCGCGTTTTGTAATGGGTAAAGTGCCTGAACGAAGAGACTGCAGGGAAACGCACGCTACCAAACAATAAGTTTCACGGTAGATTACCTGATCTATCGGACGGGGAATCCAATGCCGTACGCTACAGTTCTCCCGGGAACTGTGCCATGGTCGGGATACAGCGCGACCTGCTCTCCGGGGATCAAGCGGAGGGCCTAACCGGAGACCGCTCTTTGGGATACCGTGCTACTGGTGTCGCCCACGCCCGTGGGTTGAAAGATCTCTATGATCAGGAGGTTATAGTGGGTATGGGTGGGTTTCCTCACCACCGAGTCCCACATAATCTGCCCTAACACGGCATATGTGCGCAATTGCATTTCCTCCTTCCTCCCTCGGGCAGCGACGCCTGGTCGTTAAATTTCACGTGGAACAACAACAACAACAAAGTTTACAGGAACCGAGTTACCCTTCCGGATAGAAGCACCGAGAAAGGACGAGAAAAAAAATGCCCACCACCGCCAGAGCAGCGGAAGGAAACACAGTGCTTGGTGTGCTTAAAATGGTTCGCGACTATTTATTCAGCCAGATGGCACTGCAGGCGGTTCCATGAGGGCCAAGAGGTTCCCATAACGGGGAAACTCCGGCGCCTCCAGGAGGATGCTCCCGAGGAACTTCCTCCCACTGCCTTTTTATGCAAAACATTTGAATTCCAGCGCCGCAGCAAACAGGGGCCCACAAGGCACCGCATCGTTAGCCATGGATTCATGTCAGACACCGCGAAAACAAGCTAATGTGGACAGTGCAAAGAGACGAGCCTGCCCTTACTGAGGTGTCCCACATTAAAGAGCCTACGCTATAACTTTGCAGTGGGAAGGGGCAACGTGGAGAAGTTATGCTTTAAGAAGAAGTTTGCCTAATACCTGCTTGCAGTGAAAAGGCTTTGTCCTTAACCGCCTTCTCTGATAGAAGTGGCACCTGCCATACTGGCCTGGGGGCTGTCTATTTTATCCCCTAAGCTTTGTTAGATTATATACGTTTTCTGAATGTTATGGCCAACCGCGCCGCCACTCCACAAAGGTTTGCTAGAGAAGCGAGGGTATGTCTAAGGGATCTGGGGTTAAAAAAAACAGTCACCCAAAAGCCTTTATTGCGCTTTTCATAACAGGTTGGACCCCAATCCAAGATATATTAAAATACAAAATAAATGAAAATACGAGCAAAAAAACGATAAACATCATAATATAAAGTAAGACAAAGGGGCCATCTTCCACACCAATAGCGGGCAGTTGCGAACGCCTTCTCGCGCTGTGGCCAGGGCGGGCGGCCGCTAATGAATTCTGGGAAGGCGCCGTGAAAAAAACGTTGGTTTTGGTGCCGGCGCCCCGCCTCTGCGTTGGATTAGGCGCCAGCTTGCTTTCAGGGAAAAAGGCCGTTTTGACAGTGTGTGGGGTAATTTTTTTCTCTTCTTTTACCAGGATGTATAGCTGCACCGATTCTACTTGTCGACCAAAGAAGCTCTTGAGCAGAGGAAAATTTTTTTTCTTCTATGAAGCAACTGCTGTGGAGGGGAGTTTTCATTTTAAAGGTTCTCATCAATACTGAACTTTTGATGCGCTGTTAGGATACCGGGCGTTCGAAGAGCAGATGGTTTAGGTATTCTTGTGGACCTTATGCCGCGTTCGAGGAAGCGGGCTGTCCTTGTGGTAACGAAGAACTGTGTCTCGCACTACTGTTTCGATGCTGTATGCCATCAGGACGATGCGCGCATCTCCTTCTGTGCTTGGAGGCGCTTTTTCTACTAGGCAAGAGTGCTTCACAGTATTTATATTTGTGTTTGGGCTGGGGAGGTGGTTGATCTGGATGAACGAACTTGCAGTGTTTTTTCAGCGTTGAGAAATGCGGCACGGTACGCTCACAGTATGGGCATTTTTCCCTCTGTCGATTCACGGATGGTTGATGCATGCTTGATGACCCATTCACCATAGAGAGTGGAAGTTTGTTCACTGTACCTGGCGCGGTTGGTTTATGTGTTTAGTGAATATGGGGGGACTCTGCTGAAGGGAGATTTCAGAAATGACAATGGTTGAAGCAGTCTCTCACAGACAAGTATAAGCGAACCCAGAGCTAAGACACCCCATATCTTGCACGTGCACGATGTACCAATTCTCTGCGGTCAATGAACTCATTTCTAATGAGATACTTTGGACTGAAGTAAGAAGGTTTTGTGCCGTACAGGATGTAACGGCGAGTGCCTTTACGTATTTTACTCACCCACCTTGTCGCAATTTGTTCAGTAAAACAAGTTAGTCGGCCTGCATGCGTTAAAGGTACAGTTCTATCTTCAGTGTGTGGACCTGTGGTCATGGCCAGTGTGGTGTACTGATCTGCTAGCTCATTTGCGCGTATTCCACAATGTATGTAACAAAACTGTAGGTGAATCAACCATCTTACTCTCGTCAAAATTAAAACGCGATTCCATACTGGCCCTCCGTCCAGTCAGTTTGACTCTGCGGCACCTTATTCAAGGCCGCTGGCAAAAACTGATCGCCCTAACCTCAATAACCGATTTTTTTACTGTGGCGCATGCGAGTGGTAATCTACTTTTCTGGGACCAGAAGCATCGTACACGATTCCGTACGATAGGTATAAGGGCGCGTTACACAGTTTTGCACTAACTTTCTCAATTACAAGTGAGAACTCAAGCGATGAAATAAGCATTCTGATTCCATCTTGGAGGAGCACATCCGCACCACCATTTGTGGCTAGTTCCAACTCGCGGCGGGGATGTGGGTCAAGAGCTCGTTGACTTAATGCTCTTTTTTTCTCTGATGAGCCCCTCTGTACCAGTTATTGAGCGATCTAATAGAAGGCCCACTCCAAACGATACCATTTGAGCCGGGGCGGCAGACAACGGGGTAATGGAATTCCTGAAGAGGCTTCGTTTGCGTGGTGTCAATTCAGTTATATCATAGTTCTTTCTGCACGTGCCCGTTAACGAATGTAGCTGATGGCACGATATTGGCGAGATGCGGAAACAAAAGTGAGGCTGTGGCTCCGGTGGCGGCCGCTGAATCCAGTCTGGAGTGCATGTTGTCAGCTTCTCGAAGATTGAAAGTCTGGTCAGTAGGCATAAGGTGCGCAATGGAAGCATATTCGCTTCCAGAAGAGCGGATTCCAGATCGGTTGTGCTGGGGACTCTCCCAACGGTATGTGCTAATGAGGCATACGCGTTTCGCTTCATGTAACGTACGCTATCTGTTCCTACAGACCAAGAAAGCCCGCTACCGTATAGGGGGTTTGATGTAACGTGCCCCATGGCGAAGGTACGTAAATCGTGTGGGTTTGGCCCAACCGAGTTGCGCGAAATGGACTGTAGCTGTGGAATTCTTTGCGTGGTTGTATTGCGTTGTTTGGAATGCCGCCACGTTTAACGTTAGGCATGGATTTCATTCAACACCAAAAAGTTTCGGCACGCGAGATGGCCCCATGGCCATGACAAGACTTTCAGCCCCAGCAATCGCAAGGGGCCATCGTCTCTTCAGGTCACTGTCTTACTCTTTGTACGTGAACAGTGTGAAGCGTGCGGCCTCACGTTTTGCTATGTTGATGGATAATCCATTTTTCTGGCACCACGCATGCTATTTTTTGAGAACCATCTTGACAGTGGGAATTGCGTATTCTCGTGACTGGCGTTTGATTATAATAGAGAGACCATCGGCATAGACATCTGCTGAAACGTCTGAAAACTCGTTAAGGAATGTGAGAAGTGGATATATTTAGAGGGGAAAAAGATATGAACCCACTTCTGGTCCCTGTTGTACTCCTCGCAGAATTGTACTCTGATCACTGAGTTGCTTTCCAAGACGTGTTTTTGCGTAACGACCACATTGAAAATATCGAAGCCATCTTCTGCAGTTCATGCGGTCGATACATCCGTGAAGAAAGCGAAGTCCTCGGGTAAAAAGGTTTCACAATGCTTCACCGTGAATGCTATCTGGACCGGAAGCTTTGCCACACGGTGTGGCACTCAACGCCGCTTGGGGTTCTACCAGGGCAATGGGCCTATCTACCAAAGGGGGAGGGGGACCACGCAAAGCACACTGAGAGTCATCAGAACTTTGTCATTCTGTGGCTTCAAAACGGGGTGGAGGGCTGAAAACCTGAAGTTGGATTCGGTATTTAGTGAACCGTTGAGAACTTCTGCGGTTTGTGAGAGGGGTGGTTGGGTCCAAAAAAACGTACGATTGAAAGTATTTGCGGTCTTGCGTGCGATCCTATATTGGTGGGTATTATCGCTCAGCATAGCAAATGCAGCAGAAGAAGCTAAAGCCTTATTCCTCTCGGGCACATATCTCCAGGAAAGTGGTTCTCCTGGGTTGAGGTTGGCAATTCGCCGGAGGTACATGTGACGTATCATTTCGCATGCCAGAAGGAAAAACTGGTTTCTGGTGTGGCGCATGTCTGCCCCATGGTTGGTTGTAGGTATGTTCCGGTAGCGCGATTTGCTAGCTGAAACAATACGATCTGCTTCCGCCAGAGTGAAATCCCAGAATTTGGGCCCATGCTTGCGCATGCCCCGTGGGCAATGGTTTCGTAGTGAGGTCACGGGTGCATGTGTAAATGTTTTAGCGCCAGATAGCAACTTGTAATGGCCGCATGCTGGAAGTAGCGAGTTAAGATCTCTGATACAGGAATCCCAGTTACACTTGGGTTGGCGTCGTCTTGCTGTAATGTAAAGGAAATCACATGATGGGTGGTAAGCGTAGAGGTGTCTGCTGTCCAGTCTGGTGCTACAAGGGGCCTTCTCCATATTAGGCCTATATGGGATCGCTCGCAATAGCGGCGGGCGTGCATGGTGGCACCTGTTGTATTTAGCGGAGCGGGTCCCCTATCCGTACATTGTTCCCAAAATTCCACAACAACCCTGCTTGGCCCGGTGTCCAATAACGATTCCCAAAGTAGATAATGCAGGTTAAAGTCACCACAGAGTAGGAAGGGAATTGGGGCTGGGAAATGTCGCAAAAATTGTCGAAGGAATTGTGTTGCTCTTCGGGGTGGCCGCACGTGTGCGCTGGCGGCTGCCATGGCGCGGTTGTTCTCAAGCGTCGCCTGAACCACTTCTACATCAAGGCAGTTGTCCACTTATGGGAAGGTAGGCGATAAGCGCTTGGAAGAAAAAGTTTTTCTTAACACTATCGCCGCGCCCCCGCCCCACCCCTTTGCTCACGTGTATGAATGGGGCGTATAGCCCGCTGTTTTCGCCAGGGGGATGCTCTGACGATTTCCAGATCCACCCTACAGCAATAATTAATGCCCGACGCGCCATGGGGGCTGCAGGTTTGGCTGGCGTCAGGGGCGTTGCGTTCGTTTGAAGTTCTGTAAGATGGCCAGGGTTCCGCTTAACGCCACTACTTAGCAGTGGCTTGGGCCTTTGCGCATCGCATTCGCTACGAAAATCGTATGCGAAGCGCTTTTTGGCGCCGGTGAAATTGGCGCGGGGTGGGAATCCCCGCCCCCCGGGCAATCTTCTGCGCGGCCCCATGCTATCCTGCGCGCTTCCGGCCCGACAGGTGTGTGTCGGCTATTTCTTTGCGCGGGCAATGTGGGCAGCGTGCGCTTGGCTTCCTTCCAAATAGGGGGCGCAGGGCCCTGGTGCCGCGTTGGGGGCGGGCGGCTTCGCCGGGGGAATGCGGGGCGTCATAGGGTCCCCCGCTGTTTCCACAACCGCCAAGCGGGAATCCCACATTTGCGTTACAGGGGGTGGCGGTTTAATCGGGAAGATGCGCGCTATCCAACCCCCCTTGCCACAATCCGAAACGGAATAAATTGTGCGTTTTGCGGTGGCGGGGGGCGAATCGTCGAGTCGAGAGCGGCGTTTTTGCGTGGGATCGGCGGCTGAGAACGCCAAGGGGGCTGGCGAAGGGGGGTTTCCACAGGGCCGCGCTCGCAAAAAAGCCCACGCGCAGCTTTGCAGCTTCTCCGCCCTAGGTGGGTTAAAGGCGTCTTTCTTAAAGCCCCCCTGCCAAAGGGTATATGGGCAAGTTTGGTTTCTGACGGGGTGGGGGGTTTATAGGGCGGCGCTTTTCCCTGTGGGTGGGAAGTGTGGCCCATATGCCCCCCCACCCCGTGCCATAGCAAGGGGCGCCGCCGTCGTTTTAAATCCGCGCATGGGTTGGTAATAAACGCAAAGGTGGCCCGCTGAAAATTTTGTCCCATTTTGAAAAGCATATAGAAGCTCGCGGGCGGAATGCGTGCAAAAGGGGCTTGTTTATTAATGCTTTGGGGCGTGGCTTTGTTCATGGTAATTTCCCTTTGGTTTCCGCTGTTGGATTTTTGGGTGGGAAATTATTGAGCCTTCGGGGTGGCGATTTGATTTTTATTGTTGGGTATTTGGGGGGCGGCGTTGGTGCCCCATAAGCGCGGTCAGTGGAACGGAATATGCGGGCGGTTTGCTTAGCGCGTGCGTCGGCAGGGGTGGGGGGGTTTCAAATTGCCCGGCTGGTGCCTCGAAGCCCGGAAGGCCGCGATGCGGTGGCGCGTCTTCTTCCTTCGGGTTTGTTCGCTGCCGGCGAAGGCAGCTGCCGCTTTCAGGGTGGGTAAATGCCCCGGTTTGTTTCCAGACGGCGCATTTACGGACCCCCTCCTTTCCCAGTTGTGCTCGGGAAGCCCTTCTGCCAATACGGCGGGCTTCGGGGGGATTTTGGCGCGGGCAGGGCGTTTTGCATTTTTCAGCGGTGGGGCCTTTGGTGTGATTGCGTGGCCGCTCGGGTGGGGTTGGAACGGCGAAAGGGTCGAAAGTTACGGGGGGCCATGGAGGCCCGCGGTCGAATTTTGGCGCTGCGGGGCGAAGGGGGTGCTGCCGGTTTTCTGG